TTTCAAAGGGATAAGAAACTCTTTTCCACTAGATACCCGGACCAGCTCACCGAGGCCCGTCCCCTACGTTGTTGCGCTGCGTCCAGAGCCAGCTGGATGCCCTTTCGGCCACCTCACCAAGTTTTTTGAGTGCCCGTTTCCGTTCATTACCGCGCAATCCTAACTCTTTAACCACATTGTAGAGCGAAGTGGAAACGAGGCCTCTCGCTCCCACTTCGACGGCAAATACCCGCACTGTGTAAGCCTCGTTTCTCCTCAAACCGGCTGCTAAATCACTGTATTTCTCGAGCTTATACAAATGATTCTCCTCCATCCGCGACTCAAACGGGACCGTCAACTCAATCAGGATGAGTTGCCGTTTTTGCGCAGAATGGAGAACGATGTCCGGTCGCAGGCCGGTTTTACGGATCAACTCGGGATACCGTTCATGTCCTGGCAGATCAACCGCCAGTAACCAGTCCCTCGCAGAGTCTAGCACAGATGGAGCGAATGCGTTTTTGTTGACATTACCTTTTGGAACCTGCCCAGCCTTGAGGAAACGAATGGGGACGATACTAGAACTGGCTCTGGCATTAGCCCTCATTCTAGCCTGGTCGACAACGGCTGCTAACTCTTTTAGCACCTTGTTGTGGCGCCAGGTATAGCGGCCTTGACCTAGGGCTTTCCTGCACGCGGACAGGACGTGCTCAAGAGTTTGCTTTGATTTGCACAACGGGCAAGTCGGATCGTTGGTCGCAGACCATTTAACCATGTTAACACCGGACGGTAATACTATAGGGGAGGTTAGGCTTAGAGGTAGTCGCTTTTCATTTAACACTAGCCCTCCCCCTTCCCCCTCCCATAATATGGGACGGTCTGGGGATTTCTCTACCAAACCTCGACGCCGGTGTGGTATGATAAAATAACAGAAAAGAACTTGAAGAAGAAAGTGGATTTTGTCGTGATGGTTAAATCATGGCGAGTAAAGAGAAAATCGAGTAGCCGCCGCCGCCACCCCACCTCTTTTTTTTTAAATCTTCGCACGTTTTCCTTGTGTCGGTATAATAGTATTGATATTACTTTTACCTCTCGATTCAATAAAGTAATGCAACCAGCGCCACCATTGGCATAATTTACATAGTCCACAATATTCAACTAACGGCAACAAGCAAACAGTCGCAACAACTAACTAAAGCCACACCTAAACTGGAAGGTGCCCTTTGCAATCCCTCTATAGATTTAGATAGTCGATCAGTTGTTAAGGTCGGTTGCGACAATAAAAGGAGTCAATACTCGATAAGTGCAGCTTTACAAGTGGAACCATGCACTCTTGGGCTTGCCTTTGTCATAGAGGGCATATTTAAGAGGGCAATAAAAAAAAAATCCACGGCTTGTAAATAAGGACAGTGTGTAGGGAAAGAAGCAGAACTGGTTACAGTATACGGAAAAATTGTGTGACGTGTAGTGGAGATTTGTACATGGTTTGTTCTATAGGGAAGTGGGAGAAAAGCCAGGGTTAGACTATGTGTACCGGTACAGTCCCGGGAAGTAGAGGCGGCCGGTGAGATGCTGACCACATCACCCTTCTTGTGCCGTTGGTCTATAAAATATAGGTCTTGCCCTATACGCCTACAGGCGTGGAACAGGGTCCTTTACTTTTTTTTAAGATTGTGTATGCGTTTGTGTGTTTGCGCGCGTGTGCTTTGCTTGTGTTTGTCTACTAGATTAAATTGCTGGCGTCACCCGGGATACGGAAAGAAAATGAGATTCTTCCGACGTTTACCTCACCTTGGTCTCTACCGCTGCCGTATATCTAACATAAGTTCCACAAAGTAGCGAACACAACAGCAGCCGTCCATGTTTCAAGTTTCTATTGGACACCTTTAATTCCTCAGTCCGTTAGTTTTCAGTATAAGTGCCATCCGCGTGGATTCCGGGGCCCTGTTATAGGGAAAACAAGAATAGACCCACTGCCTACCCAAAAGCATGTAATGAGTCCACTAACTGAGAGCTTCTTTTGGAGTCTGAGTGTATCTGCCATAGATATAAAGAACCAACAATCTGCACACAAATGAGCAGGTCTGTAAAACTGATGCGCATGCCACAACTCTGGTTCTGCAACAGGACTACAGTCAAGAAGTAGACTCCACAATGTTGGCTGCAGTGGATCTCAGATACACCTGTCTCTTGTCTTGCTTTGTTCACTCTCTCAGACTGCTGTTTGTTCAACTCTTGATGTTTTCTACCTCATGCTGTCTTGCCTTCAGTTTTTCTCTCCGCTGTGGTCTTTAAAAGAGTGTTATGTTCTTATTCTATAGGTTATAGTGTGGCAGAAATATCACAGTTTTTCAAGTTCTTTCCACAACTTATTTTCCTTCCGAATCTTTTCAGAATCTCTATATTTGGTTGTTTTTGTTTCTGTGAAATACAATCTATTCTTCTGAATATCCATACTCCAGAGACTCAGTTTGACTTTATGCATACAGAGCTGTCTGTACAATCACGTCACCTGGGCATGCAATGGTTTGAATCATTTGTTGAACTTCTGATTCTGCAGCACCCACTGTCTAATCCCTGCCCTCGTAGTTAATGTGATTTGAATACTACAAAAGTCTGATTGTTGCCTGGACACTTTGACCCACTCGTCTCCTCGCCCAATATTAGCAAGCCTGTTGTGCCTGTTGCACCACCCAGGACCTTCTTTTGTGACTCTGACCTTTAGCTATATATAGGGCTTCATGCATGAAGTGCTTCTTTTCTGCAGCTACTCTGAAATTTAACTTTGCTTGCAGCACTGTGAGCCTATCTGCAATAGTCGGCAGTGCGAGTATATATCATATACACAATACTTGGGTGTCTCTCGTGCTTCCCAAAAATTTCTTTTCTGGCTTCATTCTGTAAGTTTCAAGTTTCATTAGATAACTCTTTGATACCGTAAGCATTCCAAGTCGATAATCTATCACTGAGAGGATCACATGCTAGAACATTGTGAACAGCATTCTTTGTTCCATATCCAGTCTGATATAATCTTGAGTGCATCAAGTTCATTTTGGCATTTCACTGTAAGTGCCTCCAGATGATAATCAAAGGACAGGCTTCTATAGAAAGTGATGCCCAGGTACATCAGTTTTCTTTCTTGTTTGAAAGATGTTTCTGTCATTAATTGTGAGGCTTGGGACATTAGCTCTAACAATTCTATTGTCTGCAGAGCACCATAAAGAAGTCGCCTTTTCAGGGCTGATGACAGCATCCATCTCTGCATACTAGTCAGTCATTTTGTCTACAGTTGCCTATAGCTCTTGGGTTGTGTTACCTATCGCTCCCTGCCCAAATGATGCAAGAACATCATCTGCAAATATCAATTTCCTTCTAACCCCTGCTGTGTAAAGTTCTGCAGTTTTACTAGTATGTACATTATAGAGCACTGGTGAAATTGCAAAACCCTGGGTAGTCCTGGAGAGATATTGCAGGTTCTGAGGTCCATGTACCCAAGTGAAGAGCAACCATACAATGCAGGACTGTGGCTATCCAGTTCACTAGCCAGGGAAGACTTCCTTCTGTGTGCGCGCAGACATCAAAATATCATATCTGACTCTGTTAAAGGCGTCCTCGAGATAAAGTGCTGCCACTACCATCTCCTTTTTATTCTGGAACCCCTCATAACATCAAAAGCAAAATTAGCTGCATTTGAAGTGGTATCCTTCCCTGGCCGGTAACTGCTCAAATCTCTTGGCAGGAGCTCTTTCCTTTCCAAAAACATTTGTAGTTTAACAGCAGTTATCTTCTCTAGCACCTTGCCGAAAGTATTTTGTAGAGCAATAATCCTAAAACTAATGAGTCTGAAATGATCTTTGCCTGGTTTTGGAAGTGGGGTTAAATAGCACCCAATCCTGCGGTACTGAAGCTGTTCTGAAGCTGTTCTGATGCTCTGGTTGAAGAAAGTCTAAATCACTAATTTCTCCTCATATGAGCACACCTGATTCCATCTGGTCCCTGCACAGTGTCTTTTGCTTTTTGCTATAAAATACACTTTGTATTTTATATCCTCCACCCTATGATTATTTTTTATGGTAGTCGATAGATTATCTCTAACATAATTTCTAAGTTTCTCATCATTATCATCAGTTGTGCTATAAATCTCAGTAAAAGTGCTTGCCCGTTATCTTTGTCTGTTATCATAGGCCTACCTTTCATCATCATCAGGTGCCTTGCCGACTGGCATGGGCGATCACGCCTCTCCACAATCTGTGATTTTCTGCAGCATGTATTAGTTCCTGTGCTGACACAACTCCATGCCATGCAACAAGACTGTCAAGAATCTTCTCTTGTTGTCTTCCTCTATCCCTCCTTCCACAGATCTTTCCAGTGGTCACAACATGTTCCATTTTCCCTCTTCTCATAACATAGCAGAAAAATGATGACTGTCTCCTTCTGATGTCTGTGATTAGTTGTCTTCGGGCTACCGCCTCTTTCAACACCTCTTAGTTGCTCTTTTTGGCTGTCCAAGGTATTTTAAGCATTCTTCTGTAAAACCACATCTCTTGAGGCCTCAATAAATTACCTTTATTTGTGTATATAATGCCTGTTGTGATAGGCCAATCTAGTTGTTGTGTGCGTCTGACGGAGAACTTTCCAGAACTTAACCAGTGATTTATTGCTTCATTTAAACTTTTTTGCATCTGCTGTACACTGCTTGAATTCTTCTACTATTTATTTTCTAACCCTTTCTGCAATCTGTATCTTCTCTTGTAATCTGTGAGATGTCTTTCACACTTTCTATAATTAACTGCTGCTGTCTTTGCTTTCCATGCCTGTTCTGTTTCTTGGGTCCACCATGAAGGCTGCATAAAAGTAGCCCTGGCAGTTCTTTTGTATACCTTCTGTCGAAGGAGACCAAACAGGGGGTTGACCCTCTCATACGAAAAATCTTCTCATAGCCCTGATCTTGCTAGCTTTAGAAATTATGTTAATTATGCAGTATATCTTTGTTGTCATTAGTTTTTTTTTTCTTTGATCTACAGGTAAATATAGTGATTCTCGAGTTCCCTGCAAGATCTGTGGAAGATCTTTTGCTCCAGAAGTTTTGGTAAGTCCAGTAGTTATGTGTGAGTTGTTCTAGAAACATACGTGCATGCTTGAAATCTATACATAAATGGTTGTGAACAAGGACATTGGTGATACAATTTTCTCATTGTTACAGTATCAGACCTTATCTCTAATCAGTGTGAAAGAGAGGAAGAGCGCTATGTCTGAGATTATATGTATGAAAAGAGGGATTAGTGTAATTAGAAAAGATTAATTAGGAAAGAATATCATCAGAGAAAGAGTAGGAGCAACACCTTGCTTTTATTACATAAAGATACTATGAAATTGTTCACTCATCTAATTTATAATAGAAGCTGTTTTACTGCCCATGCATACCTACAACTTTAGAAAAATAGACTGCAGATCATGAGGAAGACAACAAAGCGGATGGATTGACAACAAAACCAAGAGCACTTTATACTGACACAGACTCACATGCAACACACCAGGCCCTAGGATTTAATAAAGAAATACTGGGTTGCTAACAACACATTAAGGCAACATCTGACAAGTACAAGGAACAAAATAGTTTTTCTCCTGCTTCAGTGATGAATAAACAAGACAAGACATTAGACGACCATCTTTATATGTGAGATAACTATGATAGCCAGTGGCTAGCAAGCTTGCACAGGGGTCTTGTCTTCATTGATGTAAATATCTAAACAAAAACCAAAAAGTAACCTTGGCTTTTCGCTCAGCCCAGCCTAAAATTAATATCAGGAAATATTCTATGATATAAAGAAGGTATTTTTTTTTTTTTTAAAAGTTGAGCACATCATACATTAGTGCCAGTTATTAGATAAAATTATGAGACCAGACCATATACCCAAAATGCCTCAAGGTTTTTCCAGCTCTTATGTAATAGATGCTTTGTGGTGCATACCGGCACCTTTTATTAGACACTGTGTGGTGAATTCCAGCACCCTTTTTCCCCCAGAAAATCCCTTGGTTGCCTGTAGATTGCATGATTGTTAGTGTCACATTGAATGAATGAATGAATCCAGAATATCTATCATTGCACTTTGGACATTCCACAAGTGCTGCGTCCCCTGCCTCAGAAGCCAGTGAAGAGTTCCATTGCTGATGGTGCCAGTCACAACCTGATTACAATTCTACCATCTTTTCTCCTGATTATTAAAAACCATTCAGATATTCTGCTCGCTCCCACTGAATCAATCTCTTAAGGTTTGGTTGTTCTGTCTGTTTAGTTGCAATGTTTATTTGATCCCAAAGGGCCATCATTACATCTGCAATAGTATAAACAGATGTTCCGTTATAATTAACAGATTAATGATTTTGACTTCATAATGCCCTCAGTTATGTTGAATGTTGAATTAAGAATCAACATCACAGCACTCTAGACACTCCCATAAGTACTCAGTCCCCCATCTTCAGCAGCAAGCGAAGAGTTTCAATTCTGATGGTACCAGTAACCGTCTGATTGTATATCCGTCTTACCCTTCCCCTGAGTGTTGAGCATCGGCCAGATCCCCTGGTAACTCCTCGCAGCACCATTCTCCTTAGACCATAATGATCTGTATGCCCTCAGCACTGTTTACTCATTCCCAAAAGGCTCTCACGATATCTAACTAGTCATACATCAATTCACCACCAAGTGGTGCAGAGCCAGCCAGTCTATCTGCCTGCTCATTTCCCAACACACTGGCATAACTGGAGAACATTTCCAAAGGATGCTAACTACTCGAGACCTCTCAACTATATAAAGCCCTGGGGCCCTACCATTTTAAATTAGACCAGCTTATCTCAGAAAACTGGATAATATATATGTCTTTAAAATATATGGATAATTGAAATTGTATTGAAAGAAAAAATAAAAGGCTCTAAGTTATAACTTCAACAGTTTTCATCTTCATTTCCCCAATGCAGAACTATTGATTATGATTAATATCAAGCTGATTAATTTATTCAATTTAAATAGGCTACAGTAAGTTAAAATACATTTTTAAAAACCTGAGGTAGCATGCTCAAAGTTTTTTGGGGGGTGGGGAGAAGGGGGGGGGTTTGGGTGAATCGTGATTTAAAATATATTAAAAGAAGATTGTATTTCAAATATACCCCCTAACAAATTGCATTTGAGTGTGGGGAGGGAAGGGGGATTTCAAATATATTAAAAAAAGATTGCTTTTTCAAATGGCGTTTTTGTCTGTAGGGAGGGGGAGAGGGGGATTTAAAATATATTAAAAGAAGATTGCTTTTCAAATATACCCCCCAAAAATGGCACGGGGGGAGGGAGGATTTGTTAACGTTCCTGAAGATTGTAAGAGCCTAAGTTGTAGCTTATTTAGCTATTATCTAAACTCGCCACTCTTTTGCTTATATACATGAATATATTACAGGCAAAGCATGCAAACATTTGCAAGAAAACAGCGGTAAATGCAACAAAACGCAAACCTTTTGATTCTTCTAAACAACGTGTCATTGAAGGGGAGCTAACTCTGAGGCAGATCAAACAGGCACAAAAGAAGGTAAAGCTCTTCTGCAGTTTTCTGTCAATTGTTTCTCTGTGTATTTTTGTTAGATATGTGTGATGTCTGTCGTGCTGAGCCATCTTTCTTTCTGTCCTTGGTCAGAAGAAGGTATTTGTGAATTCTCTCTGACCAAAACAATGTGGGAAATCTGTCCTTAACCCTTTGGAGACGGAGCCTTCAGGAGGGGATTCTCATAGTTTATACACACAAAATTATAAAAAATAAAGCATTTAATTAACATATACAAAACTATAATATTCGTGTAGGAAATTGAATGAACTAACAGAATATTTATTAATCAAACTAAAATCTTAACATTTATTTAAATTAACTATTATGATTTGCATAATTTATGCAAACAATATTTTTTTTTAACTTGGGAACAAACATAACTTACCTGAAAAGTTTGGGTGAATTTGATTATGGATATAGCCTGAATAAGTCCTAACACCTGTATTTTGGGAAGTAAGGCCCTTCAGACATGTCTGGCACATGGTTCTACTCATTTTCCTGCCTCCAGCTATGTTTCAGTTGCTATGACACAACAGTCCTTTTCACAATTGTTGGGCACAGATAACCCCAGAAAAACATTGATGTAAAATTACAGAACATGTCAAACTTTCTCAAAAGCTGTCAATGAACAGCCAACATGTGCAAGAAATGAGAGAAGCAGTCTGATTGGCTAGTACAAAAACCTGCTAGCCAATATCAAGGCTTCTATTATATAGGGCTGACTGATCTGCCCAGCCGTCCTTTTAGCTACTTTGTGTTGGGCTGATATTTTGGCAGCATCAACTCCAAAGGATTAATCAGAAGTTATGTCTGATATCTGTAATTTTTAGTCGTCTGTTTCACTAACTACTGGTCATTCTGAATGTTTCTTCTTGAACTAGAAGCCTTTAGGTCATGTTCAGTTTTTACAATTAAGAAGAGATACAAAAAACAAATCTTCATCATCCTATAACTTCACCACCTCGTCCTCTACTTGATTTTCTTCTCTACTTCCTCTTCCTCATCTTCTTTTTTGTGTGTGTCCATCTCCACTTTCTCCTCCTTCTCCTCTCATTCTTACAGTTCTTCCAGTTTGCCTCACCCTTTTCTTATTCTTTATCTTCTTTTTTCCCCCAAGACTTCACCTTATGTTCAGACTATGCCCTATCCTTTCCATTAAGCTGTCATCTCACAGACTTTATCCTGTTATCTCCCAGACTTTACCTCGTCATCTCTCAGACTTTACCTGTGATTTTTAGATTATGAGTTGAAATATCCAAGTCTTTACCTTGCCATCTCCCAAACTTCACTTTGCCAGCAGATATCTTTCCTCCATCCCTCAGAGTTAATCTGCTTCTGCATTTCTAGGAAATTAAGCCACCCAAAAGCCACTGGCGTGAGAAGCATCAGGATTTTATCAATGCTGTCAGGAACGCAAGAGGAGTGCAACATGCCATGGAGGCAGGCGGGCCTCTGCCTCCTCCACCACCTCCATCCCTAAATCCAGGTAAGAACCCACGATTCTTATATGGGGACTGTTATGGAAACTGGCTTTGGGTATTTTATGGTAAGCTGAATAAAGCTGTCTCAGATAATACATCATTCCCTGATCCACCCATTTCAGGGTAATTATTGTGTGTGTGGCCATTATGGGTTCCCCAATTATAACCTAAGAGGTTGACCAGGAGTATCTTAAATTTATCCTCTTGGATTTGCATCCAGGATGTGACCCTTTGAGTCAAAGGTGTGTCAAAACTGTAAAGTAGCAGCCCAAAAGGGAAAAACACTCAGTCAGCTCTTGATGCTTATCCTTTTGTTTCGGTCTCCATATTTTTTCAGTATCCATATTGTTTCAGTCTCCATATTGTTTCAGTCTCCATTTTAAATTACCAAATTCTGACAATGCACTGCTTGACTACGAACAACTTAAAAATAGTATGCTCACAAATTTATTAATAGTTTCCTGTGATCAAAATCATCGGATGTATTGCAGTGATATTCTGCCTGCAGCCTTAGATTTTACATGATATCAACACTTTAGAATGATTTATTTATAGGCAATTTGGAATGGAGAACCCCAGAACCATTCTAGCCTGAAAAGTTTTTTCTGCCATTTCTAGATCACTGTCTGTAGGTTTCAGCTGTTTCCTGGAGGTCTACATCATTTTTTTTCCATCTGTGCATGAGCTAAAAGGCTATAGAAAAATTCTCAGAATACCATAGACAAAGAAGAGAAGAAATTCTGACATTTTAATAGATCTAAACATCAGTGAAGATTGGCTAATAAACAGCATCTTGTCTCAGAAGCTGAAATATTTTGATCATATCAAGCACCATGGCGGATTGGAAAAAAATAATAATAGCAGAAGGCATGGTGCCAGCCAACACAAAGATGGGCTCAGGATATAAGTGACTCCTTCAGTATGAAAGAGATGGTGAGAGACCGAGTTTCTTTTAGGCAGACCGTGATGAAATGCATGAGATACAGTGCATCTTCTTTACGTAACAACATTTCCACTACCATTATTTGTTTCTTAGCTTGTCTGCTTATTGCTTCTCTTGCATCTTCTTCCTATCATAAGCAGGCTTTGCTAGTCGGACTCAACATCAACATGGTCTGTTAGTAGTAGTAGTAGTAGTACATTTTACCCCACTAGGACATCACACAAGCAATATACACCTGATGACACAAAGTGCCACCATGTGGATGAGGATCACCGGTGGAGAGGTCCCAGAAACTACGTTCAGCCATTTAGTCATATTATTGGCCGTGCTATATTGCGGCCCCTGGCAAGAGTCAGAAAAAAATAATGAAAAATTGCATCCCACAAGGGGATTACTAAGGTTAATGGTCTGTGATTACCATGCCCCTCTGTACCACAGTAAAACACTATCATCTGGTAAGTTACCATTAAACGAATGTGTGGACAAAACAATTTAAAATCTTGTTTCCTTAATGTGTTTTTTTTAAAAGTTTTTTTATTTAAGATATAATTGCTGGTGTCTGTTTACTGCATAGGTGTGATTTTAGTGTCTTCCTGCTACAAAATCCAGCTTTTAACTCTTTGAGTCCCAAGGAACGCATCACACCTTCATAGGTTCCTAACTAGAGGCCCAGTGAACGCAAGATGCGCCGATGTTATGTTTCTCTTGACTATCCCTTGGGCCTCTGATACTAAATCCCCTGGGACTCAAAGAGTTAAAGACATTTATTTCTAGGTTAGTCTATCCATTAAAAAAAAAAATTTAGTGAAATAACAGTAACGACAAAATCCCAAGGTTAGCACTGTAACAATGGCAAAATACTTTTTTAAATACTTTTAAATACTTATAACAAATACATTGCCAGATTTCTTTAACATGCGGTGACTAAATATGAGAAGTGAAACCATACATGATTTGTTGATTTGTGCACGTGAAAAAGAAGAAATCACATACAATGGTAGCAAAAACTTGTGCATACTGCACAAGTTCTAAATGGCACTTGAACAAATTTGTCTCACTTTTATCTAATGTCTTTTTTATTGGTGAGTATGTTCTCCTTTGTGCAGCTACGAAATGATATAACTCACTGGTTCATGCCTACACCCAAACAGATTACGTCCAGTGCCCCTACTGCTCCCGAAGGTTCAACCAGCAGGCAGCAGAACGGCACATCGGCTTCTGCAAGGATCAGCAGTCACGACTGCCGAGGGACAAGCCAAATGTCAATGCTGCTGCAAAGCAGAATGCACGTTTAGGTGTAAGTATGTGATAACATGACATTACTCAGTATGTTTATGTATGCAGTATGTCTTACTTTACTCACTGCTCTTTTTTCATCATTAGTCTAAGTTATGTAATTGTGTTGTGACTGTGTACAGCATAACTGTAATAAATGCACCTTTCGGCTGGAACATCCAGCTTGTTTCTGTTCATTTGTTGTCCTGTTAGTATTCACAGGTAGTTTAACAGTATTCTACTGACATCTTTGCCGGTTGTCTTACATTACACAACATAAGTTATCAGGATAAAATATGCATTCCTTAACATGCTTATAGGAGCTGTGGAATCCTAGTGGTTAGATGATCACCTGCCAGCCTGAATGTCTTGGGCTTGAGTCTACATCAAGGCAGATTGTTTTCAAAATTGACCTTAGCCTTCAAATCACTGCTGCTTCAAATGGGTACAAGGTAATGTCCTGGAAAATAAAGGTGGCTGGCATGATATTGACCATATCACCCATCGATTTTAGGATATGTCAACATGGAGAAAAAGTCATTTAAAAAAAATCTGGCCTAATGTGGATTTGACCCCTAGACCTAAAAGCTGGCAGATGAGCATCTAGCCACTATGCTATCATGGCTCTCCAGACAACTTTACTTCTCACAGAATGTTGTGGTACCTGTGTGATCACCTACGTCGGTCGGTAAGGCTCTGGATGATGATGATCATGGCAGAGGGAAGTGCAAAAGGTCCACACATGGCTAAAGTGAGAGATGAGCATTTCTCGAGTTTAACGAGAGACAACGGATTCACGCATTTTGCAAGACCCATGCGTGACTAGTCGCTGAGATGAAAGTTAGCCCTGGTCTAGTCAGTGCCCCTCAGTCTTTGGTGTATAATTCGGAATGCCCTAGTTGAGTGAATTTAATGAAGACAAGGCGTTTCCAAGGACTCTTGGTGAATTACCTCTTTTAAACCACTCCACCGACTGTCTCGCCTTCTTTCTAACCACTGTATAATACACAGACAAAAGCAGAAGTGTCCATCTTTGAAACAGTTACCCTAAGCACAATCAAAATTCTTCAAAAGATAACCAGGTTCGATGCCCCAGGTGCCCTTGTCCATGAACCTTCAAGACTACTATTACAACATTGTCCATCTAACGTTCTGAAGAGGATGAAACAGTTACTACAGTTTATTGTCGAACACCCCTAGAATCCAACTCAACAGTCCCCATGACTCTTGGTGAACGACTTCCCAAAATCACTCTCGGTATCTGAACACCCCTGACTCAACAGTCCTCAATATTCCTGGTGAACGACCTCCCAGAACCACTTCCTCGATTGCCTCCCCGTTCTCCTCATTCACGAACAGACTAAAACAAAGATGATGACTTCTCTCAAATGTAAGAAGGCTTGGCTCGGCCTCAGTTGTTGTTAAGGATGAACACATACGAACAATGACTAATTCTCCAACGTATAACACAGCTCTTGGCCTTCAAACCATGGAATGCACTCGACAGGTGTAGTCAAAGTTTCTCTTAGCAGCACACTACACATTTGTGAATGACACTAAAATTGGTGGCTTACATAACTGGTCTTCATTGTCGTACTTTCCAGTGTAGAGCTTGGCTTATGGCCCCTATTGAACAGGTACCCGCATCTAAACATGATGTCAACTCCTCAGGAGATGCACAAGTTCTATGGATCAGGCCCCCTTTGATATAAGCTGAACATGAAATTGGTGACAAAGAAACGGATGCTAGTCTGTCTATCAAAATTCTGCCCAGTTTCCACACTGGCAGACTCTCCAAAGGCGGTATTGCCTCGAAGGGTGACACCTAGCCTCGACTTGATGTGAGTCCACTACATCACCTTCTGCCTACAGGCCGCCACCTGGGGTCACCAGTGGCCTTTAATAAACGCCTCAGTTGTGTGCCCACACTTTGGGTCACTAATAACCTATACATAATAACTGACTGAGATTTTGCAACCGGCACACCAAGTCTCCCGACACACAGTCGCAGTCAGCCTCAAATGTGATCAGGAACACATCCTTGCAGTTGGATCATAAAGAGATGTTGGGCTCCCAATGCCTTGTCTTCATTAAATACACTGAACTGAAGCATTCTAAATTATACACCAAATTCGAATGAACAATTTAAGTTTTCACCAGAATAAAATAATACACATGATTGGTAATAAAAATCACATATGTCCTAACTCTCTCACAGACTGAGGGGTACTGACTAGACCCAGGCTAACTTTTAGCTCAGCGACTAGTCATGCATGGGTCTTGCAAAATGCGTGAATCCACTGTCTCTCACTAAACTTGAAAAATTCTCGTCTTTCACTTTACCCGTGTGGACCTTTTGCACTCCCTTCTGCCTTCATCATCATCATCCAGAGCCTTTACGACAGGCATTGGCGATCACGCCTTTGACACCTGGTACAGGTGAGTGAGTGTAGCAGACAACAACTGCATTATTGTTCCCTCTTAAAAAGGGCTGAGCTATGTAAATAATAAGAAAAGAATCTGCCTCATTCCAGATTTAAACCCTAGACCTTAAGGCTTGCAAGTGAGAAGTTATCTATATGATAGGCTGCAATTTTTTTATGGGACCTAACATCCAACACAGTTTTATCTAATATTTTTTTAGTTAGGGCCTTTGCTGTTAACTGAACAACTTTTTCTTGCTAGCATGTATTTCTGGTAGCCACAATCTTCACTTGTCGTATGTGTTTGTGGTAATGGGAAGCTGACTGGTTCTGCTTTTCATGTGGTTTGATATTATTTTAAGGTGGTGTCCATAGCTTAGGTATTGCGAGTCTGACTTATAATTCCAGTGACCCGCAGTCGAAACCCACTGCTGGCTGTGTGGATTTTTATCATGCTATGGGGCGTTGCAGCTCGACCCCGCCTAAAATGGGTACCAGGATATATGTCCTGGGGAGGGTAAAGACGACCAGCGTAATGCTGACTGCATTATTCATGATCAAAATCTATGCAGCCACAGTGGGTTTCGATCACAGTACATTGGAATTACGAGTTGGATTTGCAACGCCTCAGCCAAGGACACCAATGTTTGTTTATAGTGCTACACAATTTGTAGAATGATATTAGTGACTCTTTTGTTAGATAAGTTAAATGTTAAAGTCAAGAGGATCAGCTTCATTGCACAGGGTTTTATCCTATATGGCTCAGTATTTCCACCTACTGAGAGCATCACACAAAGCACAAACTCCTTGGCTGCAGTGACAGTCCCCAGGGATCTCTGTAAGAACTGCACTTGTGAACTGACTGATACATCTGGGAAATGAACCGACAACTTTCAGAGCATAAGGCAAATGGCTTGACCACTTCACCACAAAGACCAGATCTGAATTGTGTTCCTAATATACAGTGCTCTACAATTTATAGGATGATAACAGTGACACTGAAAATTCAGCGAGTCAGGTGAGCTGTCTGATTGGCCTCATCACTTGACATTTTATTTGTTGGTTTGTTGATTTCTTGATGTACATTTACACATACCTATGTCAAATATGATTGGTAATCAGGTCTTTCCACAACTTTCTTTCCCATGTTAAGGTTAGTTGCGTATCCTTTACAGGACTTTGCAGAACCAACCCCAGCATTCTTTACTGTTGTGGTTTTCCTAGGCAGATTTTACATTCACTAGTTTGCCGTTGCTCTCTGAACAGTCAGCTCTTGGTACCACTGTCAAAACCAACACAAGACAAACCAACCACAGCTGAGATCTTTCTCATTTAGTTTTAATTAATTCTGCCACAAATGATCTTCCATGCAATGATGCCAAACTGTCTAGCTTATTTTTCTCTCAATATCTACCCCTGCCTCTTTCCCCCTTCGGCCTTCCCACCTTCACGATGTACTCCAGTGAACATGACACGACCAAAGAAGCTAAAATTGTCTCCTGCTGATGTGAGTGGTCAATTCTCTTCATGGGTCAGTTTCTTTAAAGACATGACATATGACAAGAGAAACAAATATATTAGAATACATGTGGCCTAGTCAGATCAAGTGGCTGCTGAAGTTTAGATTCAGTTGCATGTTCTTTTCAGGACACCACAAACCGACTCCAGCATTTATTGGCGGTTATGTGGTTTTACTACCATGTTCTCCTGAAAAAAAGACCTAACTTAACAATAAGCCCTAGAATTAATTTTCATGATGGGTGTAATATAAGCCATGTCTGACAGACTGATTTAGTTTGTGAGTTGAAACACACAACAAACATATCAAATTATAAAATAATATCAAATAATAAAATAATTAATTTATCAACAAATGTAAAGAAAAAAATATTTTTCACATTAATGTGTTCAATTAATGTACATACTATTTTTTGGGGGTTGGGGGGGTGGGGGTGGTAAAAGACTCTACACCCCACCCCAGTAAGCATATTGTAAAAGTCAACTACTTAGGGGTGTTTCCTTTGAAATCAGAATGTGTCTGCCAGAGAGGCATGAAACCAAACCAAGAGTCTTCACACAAATAAGCCAGACCTGTCAAACAGTTGTGCATGAAAAGCTCAAGTTCTGGAGGAAGACTAAAGTTTAAAAGTGGACAAACAGCCAGAACCTTTTGCTGCAGCTCACAGCTGGTGAACACAAAGAAGAAGAAGGAATATAGAAATATGTTTGCTTTTCTTGGTACTCTTCTGTCCTAAGGTGGAGTGGTGTAGAATTAGGTACTTGAGTAGATGTAGATTATTATACATGACAAAATAAGACATCCACTGATCATCATATCACTGTAATGATGTTATAAATAGGGATAATTTCAGGGGATGATTGGCATAACTGGGGAAGTCCCTGAGAGCATGGGTTTCACGGAGATATGGTGAAACGACAGGAAAGAGTGTGTCACGTGTGAATGAGGAGATCTGGGGGATTGAGAATCAGGCGGGCATTCGGTGACTGGGCCCCAGAGAGAAAAGATGGAAAATGAAGCGGTGAAGATGAATGGAGAATGACTAGAGCATGTGGATCTGAATCGGCGAGGAATGAATGATCGAGAAGGCCAGCTGTGATGGTACCCTGTTTGATTGTCAAAGCCAGCTGTGAATATGTCAACGTCTATTGTCCGAATGCTGTAAGTGGATTCACCTGTGATCTGTGTATTGAGCTAACGTGTAAATAAACTCGTGAAATGTGCCGCTGGTGTTAACCGTTGTTAGACGTTGTGTGACCATGAAGAGGATCATGTCTGCTTTGATTGAGTTGTGAACATCTAGACATCAGAGCCAGTGTTAACTCTGCACCACAGATAGCCAGTGTGGAGGAGACACAAAAGGGCAGTCATTACATTGCGTGAAACCCATGCTCTCAGGGACTTCCCCAGTTATGCCAATCATCCCCTGACATTATCCCTATTTATAACATCATTACAAGCCTGTAGGCATCTTTTGATGCAAATAAAAACAAAAACAACCTGAGGACACAGGGTAGGTAATTCTACATTTAGCAGTTCTCCATTGTTTTCCAAATGGTACAAGACTGAAACCTTTGTCAAAATAAACACAAAAATCATCTGCTACCAAATTCCATGCATCGACTTAAACCTTAGTGTGCCAGGATTGTGAAAGCGCATTCACAACCTCACAGCTATAGATGCAGACATTATTATAAAGTTATCTATGAATGCTTCTCCTAATGTATTATGTTTTAAGTTTATAGTTGTTGCTTGCATTGGAAATAACATTATTTTGTTTGTATTTGAAAAATTACAGTAGTAATTTGATTAGATACTCTGTTAAACCCTTCTGGATTATAATTTGGATAAATATTAAATTATTTGTTTTATTTGTAATGAGTCATAATAATAATAATATCTTTGTTAAGAATGTTTTCTTTGCTAAGAAATATTATCTTTGTTAAGAATATTAATTTCGTCAGTTGTCAAAATTACCATTGCTAAGGTTTGCAAATTTGTTTAATTGGAAGAAAAAAATCTTATCTTTGATTATATTATTATCTATGGTAAGATTGTTACTTTTAATGAGAATAATATGTTAAGAAACTTTTCTTTGCTATGAAAGTTACGATTGCTAACCGTGTCTGAATTTAAACAAAATTATAAGTTTTAGACAGGCCACTCATAAATTTAAAGTGTCAGTTTTGCTGGTTTTAGGATGACAGTACTGAACCTTTTGTAGATGTTAAAAAAAAAATTTAATAACCTCAGGTAATTGTCAAAATGGTAATCACAGTACCAGTTAATAATTTCACAGAAAATCAAAGAATCAAATGGTTTGGTCATCTAGTAAGAATTGAACAAAATCACCTCGCAACTATGTATATGGTGTACTACAGGAGAACAGCAGGCTACAAGGCAAGAGGCCGAACAAGAAAGAGAGGGAGTCTTCTCTGGGATGCTTTATGGCATAGGCAGTAGGGAAAAAAGAAGAAGAAGAAGGCAATTGTTAGATTTAAATATCCAGTACTAAAATAGAAAATAAAAACATATCCCATTTAAACCAAAAAATTTTCAACAGGATTTATTATAAAAAATGTAGTATGACATTAACACAGACTACACAACTAGCGAAATACAGGAAAACTACATCTGACTCCCCTCTGTGATGCTGAATGTTCCCTTTAGGAACAAGCAAAGGAATCAGTAGAGAAAGATTATTATTGCCTGGAGAGAATGAGGCACCTGGAAGGTAACCAGAGGGTCTGGCCGGCTCACTACAATCAGAGGAAAGGCAAGAAGGACATATAACCAGATTGTGACCAGTACCATCAGTATTGGAACTCTGCACTGGCTGCTGAAAATGGGGATGGAGCGTGCATGGGAATGCTCCCAGTGTTATGATGTCAAAACTCAACTCAACTGTTATGCTTTATGGCGTAAGCATTAGGACAAAAGAAGAAGAAGAAGGCAATTATTAAAAATAAATATCTAATACTAATATAGAAAAAAAAAGACTACATATCCCATTTTAACCCAAAAAAAAAGGTTCGACAGGATTTCATAAAAAATATTGCTACATATGTTTCTATTCACAGTATCAAGTCCCCAAGCCTAAACCTAAGAGTAGCCCTGTGTCACCTCCAGCCAGTATGGCTGCAACTCGTGGTGTAGGTGAGTGTATTTTTGTGTCAGCTGGACTGATTGGTTTGCGGACTGATTGACTGGCTAGAGTCATTGGCTAAATGTTTGCATGACTGATTAGTTAATCAACTTACTGACTGAAGGACCGACTAACAATTTGATTTATTGAATTGTAGACTGATTAACTGATCAATTGAGTAACAGATTAATTGAATGATTTACTGATGCACTAAATAACTGATAATAAATTGGAAGATTGATTGATGTAACACCTGAATAATTGGATGATTAACCAGTTTATCGACTGAGTTAGCCAGTTGCCTGCCAACAATCCTTATTTTTCTCTTATGACATGCATGACACCATATTTGATACTGTGTTATGATATTGACCTCAAAAAGCTACGACAAGACCAGCTGCTCTACCACAGCGTGCAACCCAGGCAAAGGCAGCTACCATCCCAGCAAAAACATCTTCTAGTGGAATGTCCACCTCATCCTCGTCGTCAAGAACTGGTGTTGCAACAAGAGGAAGGGCTGCCCCAGTTGCAGTGAGTACCTCTTCTTCATTATGCCTCAGTGAATCAATCATTCTCAACCACCTCGTGCCAGGTCATTTTATGTTTTTTGTTTTATGTTGTTTACAGCTCACCCCATGTCTTACCAATTTTACCCATCACAGCCTCTTATTTTCTATCCATGTTTTTTTTCTTTTTTAATTTCTTTGGCCTTTTAGGTCTGAGTGCAAGGTTTATTCTAGTTGTCTGAAACAGGTTTTCACACTGTGTCTTATCCAGTGTCAGACCTATTTCTCATCTCCTAATTCACTTGTTTTGTCTTAGTCTTGGTTGAGTTTTCAATTTCATTGCAATTAGGTCCTCCCATACTTGCTCCATTCCTGAGCCAGTGAAAATCAAATTCAATATCCCTCACTGTCGCATTTGAAAAACTGGTAAACAAACAATCACTCCCAGCATAATTCAGAAATATGAGCATGCAGTAAATATGTCGGGTCGTCCCGGTTATGGGACAGTTCAGTGTGATGATGAATCTTGTATGTTTAGAATTGTGACCCCTAACTAAACTCAGGGCATGTTTTAAACAGGCTGATACACGGAGAAATCTGTGTTAGCTGAACGAGGCTTGCTGAAGGTCAGCGGATTTCACGGAGTGTCCACTGGACAGTGAACTCTGGTAGTTCAACAAAACGTCTGTGCAAAACACAGTTTGGGGACTCCTGGGAGAAGACTTGTGTGATGTGTTTTGACCGACCGTTAGATTGTACTAGTTCATTGACAAGTTGCAATGATCTCTAGAAATGTGGCTTGTTAGATATTGACTGTAATTCGTGCCATCTGGTGTTTGTCTAAATGTGTTTAGAACTTTATGATGTAGATAGTAACTGATTCATTTAGCAGTTAAATTTAGGATAGCAGTTAGACTTTGTCAGTGGTGATACCTAGTTATGGGAAACAAGACCATGCATTGTTTGTGGTGTTAGAAGTACCAATGCACCTCCAGCCTGCACTTGGCATGTCTGTAGCATCTTTGGCATCGCGAGACAGTGAGTTGGGTTAGCGCTGTACGGGAGTGTGGTAGGGGCTCAGAGCTTATTTCATGAATGTTAAAAGGCGCGTCCAGTCTGGTTTCAGAATAAGGAGCACTACCCCTCCTTAGATAATTTCAACCAATTTTTGGCTTGGGTGTGTTCATTAGCAGTGTTAATCTGTCATTAACCTGCAGCACAGCCAATTAGAATAGAACCCTAGACATGTAGGTTCTTGATAAAATGCATATGGCAGTTGCTAGAGGTGCCAAAGCCAATAGTCGCCATCAGAATGCAATTTGTCCTTGATGGAAGTTGCTGGTCAGACAAGTTGCTTAAAATAATAAGATAGCCAAAGTCATAATTGGCATAAGTTGGTTGAGGGCCTAAGCTCCATTAGAAAATAAAGGGCAGAAGAAAAAGAAAAAGAAGAAGAAGATGATTAAAAAGAAGAAGAGGTAGAATTAGAGGAGGAGAATGATAATGATAATAATATTAATACTTTCTCTAATAGTTTCTTGGAATAGAAAGAGTTAGAACAACAGCTGCCAAAAACAGAGAGAGTATTATTATTTTTCTTCACTTCTTTTATCACTTCAGGTTTTAAAGGGGATGTAAGATTGTGCTTTTTGCTTTCCTGGCCACCTCGACCATAGACACAATGTACTGTGTCTTGTAGAATTTCTCTGATGTTATCTTTCCATATTCTTCTTAGTCTTCGTCATGCTCTACATCTCTGTTATCTTTTGGTGTTTGCCTTGGGTGGTTTTCCATCATAATGCATTCTCTCTAAGTGGTCAAACCTTTTATTTTCAGTCGTTGTGTGTAATTTAGTATTGTTTTTGTGAGGAATTTTTTGTGTTATGTTTCACTTCAGATTCTATCTCCTCTGGTCCTTCCTGTAGCCTTGCTCAGACAGAAATAGTTACCTGTTTTAAATTCAGTTTTTACTTGATCCATTCTGTTATCTTATTGTTGTGGTACATCCTTTGTCTGATGTTATCCATGTACTTATAGCAGTTTTATATGTTGACTTTAATTTTACATTTTATCCATAGCACTTTCATTTAATCAGAGCAATGCTTTCCTGTGTTTATTAACTAGTGTGATACCCTTTTTGAACTCAGCATGACCACATACTGTTGTCACATTCATCCACTCTGTTCCAGTTCTTATTTAAATTCCTTCCTCCCCATTGTTTTATTCTTATAACTCCACAGACCGTGTAATGCATTACTTTAAGAAATAATTTCTTAGAATAGAACAAGTTTAACTCTTTCAGGCCCATGCATTTTCACAGACTTGGCTCACATTAATTTCTGTTTACAAAAATGGCAGAGGGGGTGGTGTAAAGAAAAAGATAGCCATTGAGAATGAAAAATATTTCTAATCCCTACAAAAGCATATAGCTTTTAAAGAGAAATTAATATACATTTTAAATCTGATGATATATTTTTTGTTTAATACTGTAATAAGTAAAAAAAAAAAGTAAAGGACCTTTTCCACGTCTTTAGGCGTATTGGGCATATAGGGCTAGACCTATATTTTTATAGACCGATGGGCACATGATGGGTGATGTGGTCAGCATCACGCCGGTCGCCTCTATGCTATAAGTGATTTGTTAGTATTGGGGCATATTGAAGCTTAATGTACATGTTTAATATGTTTTGGTTTGTGCCATTGTTGGGGTAATCTCACTGAGCGTATTGTGTCATTATCATATTTCCTTGTTAGCTGGAGATGATTAGCACTTTAGAATCTAGTCGAGCACATTGGTTGTTGTTAATGTATTATTTGGGAAGTATACATTAATTCTATGTTCAGTTCACTAATATAAACAGCTGTTTATATTAGATGATGATTATAATTCATTTGCTTGATTTAATTTAGGATCTGTAGTCCATGCACGTGGTTCGTCTAGGTGTATGTACCCATGTAGTTGGGTTGTCGTCATGTAACTCACTATGCAGATATTCTTTGTCTGGATCTTAGTGAAATATTCTAGGATCCCTGTGCAGAAGAACCCTTGTCTTTTCTTTACTTTCATGTTTTTGCTGTTTAGAGGGGAATTATTACTTGTTGTTCTAATCACAATTGTCCTATATCTCTCCTACTTCTGTGTTTTTTCCTTCTTCCCGCTAGCACAGTTATATACAGATTGTAGCTGCAATGAATTCAAGTGGGTGACCGGATGACTAAAACATCCTTTGCAAATGAAATAGGTTCTACTCATCAAAATGAACAGCTGATTGCTCAGCTGCTGATAAAAAATGTAAACACACATAACCCTCAAAATATATGTTACCAGGGTTACTTGAGCTTGTGTATTCACTGTTAAAACTTATTCAGATGGCTTCTTTTGTTAAGACTGTATATGTCTGAGTACATGAAATGTATGCTTTTGTGATAAACTTGAGTCTGGCTATGCAAAGTATTTAACATTATCATGTTATTTATATTTTTCACAACAGGGGCGTAGAAACTAGCTCCATCACATCTGTGCTGAGGAAGAAACAATATTTTCATGACCAACATTCCCAAATTCATGAGCAACATCTTCAGATCATTCCTCAATACAGCAGCAATAAAATCATCCTGCTGATTAAGAAAAATAATTGCAAAAACCACAAAAATTGAAACATCAAGATTTGCCATTGATAACTGTGTTCTGTCATCTAAATTACATGAAACTTATATTAATTTTTTGTCAGCAATCATTGTTGTTTACGCAGGCAGTGAATTCTTGTGATATGTGGCTGTCATTTCCATGCACACTCAGACAAAATAATACATATGGAAAGATAAGAATTATGACAAAATTTGGGTAGCTAACCAGTAAAACAATCTATTTTTATTTGTTTATGTTTTTGTGTCTTAAAAGGAGGCTCCTACCTCATTTGACTTGTTTAAACAATCTTGATTACCACTGATATGCTTCTTTTGAGTCTGCTGTTAAACATTTACCAGCCTTTATAGTTGATTCATTTCTTTATTAATTTTGAATGTGTGTGTAAATCAGTTACCGCCTTCCTTGTTGCCTGAGCTTTTAACAATGTGGTTTATGCTTTCTGCTGTTTTCTAATGCTTCTTTTGATTAGTAAAGATTGCTGACATGTCTTCTGAGCTTTTACTTGTGTTCATCATCTTCATATAGTCCATGCATTCTATGTAACATTTGTTGTTATGCCATATCCACAGCCTTCTGTCTTGTAAGCTGTCAGTAATTTGTAATACGCATGATCTTCTATGCCTCTTGGTCTCCCCTTGTCTCTCTTTCCCTGAAACTTTCCTGATGTCATGACATATTTCAGTTTCCACTTCTCGTGACATGACCAAAGAAATGTTCATCCTCCTCCTCATTGTCATCATCATCATCATCATTGTATGCTTGGCTAGGCGGCGTATGTGCTGATGTCTCTCCACTGATCTCAATCCTTGCTATTTTGAATCACTTCCACTGATGAGTTCCATCCATGCCATCACTTCAGGCCATCAAGCACTGTCTCTCTTGGCCTGTCTCTGCCTTTTCTGCCATTGGTCTTTCCAGTCATCACGATGTTCTCCAGTACGTCTCTTTTCGTCACATGACCGAAGAACACTGACTGCCTCTTTCTTACAATTATGTAGTTTTTGACTGAATTAGCCATTTCCAAACAGTCGTTGTTAGTTAATCTAGAAGTCTACTGTTTCTGCGGCATGCGTCTCAGAAACCACATCTAAAAGGCCTTAAAGTTCTTGTTTATTTGTTCATTCACACTCCAAGATTCACAGCCGTATATTAATACTGTTCAATCTAGGAAGGACCAATCCTTAGCTGGACCAACCACAGAATTGCTCCTTTTCAGCATATGTTTAATGTCTTCATTGTATGCTCAAATGTAGTCCTGAGAAAGACCAGTACTAGTTAGGGCTCATCTATAGTTTCTTTGTTAAATGAGGTCAAGTAGCCACGCAGCTCAGAAAGGTGCAATTGGAAACCACGGGGTGCCCTAAAGGAACGGATTTACATAGTTAAACAGAGGGTGTCAAGGATTTACCCCTGTTGGATAGGCATCCAAAAAGTGACTCTTTGAGTCGTTGGCTGTCAGACCCGGTTGCACTCCGAGAGGGAGAATATAAAATAATATTTTTAAATACTTTCCTGTTGTTTAAATGCCTTGGTTGCTTCATCTCATGCCTCATAAATGGTTTTGAGTGCTTGTTTCATGTGCTTTGTATACTTTCTGCAACTTCTGCTAATGTCATCTTTGGAGCTGATTTGGTTTCTTTGATGGTGGGCAGTGCATCATAGTTCTTGTTGTGCTTTCTATTTCACTATTTATTTTTCAACTATATCCACTAAATGGCACTTTTATTGATAACATCAATTCCGTTGCAATACACAAAACTGCATCTGCTGCCTAGCAGAAATAACAAATATTTGTTATCAGTCAGTTGCCAAAATTTGGACAGGTTGCCTATTTTTTTTTTGTGTGGTACCAACCAAAACATGTAAAAATTAGCAAATTACCACAAATACTGCTCAAAACAAAACTGTGAAATGCGCTGCAATTTTTGATTTGATGAAATGTTAACATTCATCAAATGAGTATGTATTATGTATGTTATATTTTTCTCATCACAGTTATTTTTGAAAATATTTTCTATAAAATATGCACACTTTTAAAATGATTCCTTGCTTAATTATTTGTGTGTGTGGCCAGAATTATTTATCTAGCCAAAATTATATGCACACGCATAATTTACATCATTTACTTAAATTTTGCACCCAAATATTACTAAAGTTTAACTGATTATATGAAGAGTGGCTGGCCAAATAGTTATGCTAGGCTCTTATTTGAGAGATCCAGGTTCAAATCCTCAGTAAGGTGATAGACATGTTTTTCTGTTGGGGGCAATAACAACAACAAAAACACCCTTACCTGCACAGTTAATGGCCACTGCACCAGCCATGCAGTCTTAAATCAGCTTAAGACCCTTCCCCCATCCTATATCACCCTAACAATTGTTATTATTAGCAGTAAAGACAGTCTTTTAAAACACATATTAAACAAAAGATAGGTCTATTTTAGTAGGGGCAGGGGGAAAATGATCAAACGGTTTGTCTCATGCTTAAAGGTTTGGGTTAATTTTCGAACTGCTTCACTTATGCATATGTGCAGTTGTTCCAGACATCTCTGGATTGTTGCTAGAGTTACAGAGTTTGTGCTGTGTGCTATGCTCTGGAAAAGAGACTAAGCATAACTAGATGCAGTGCTATGATGTAGAGCCTAGATTTTTATTAAACTTTTGTTTAATGTCATAAATTGAAAGGAACTGCAAATCTTTTAACTATTTTAGGATGTTGTTAGTTATTCCAGCTTTCAACTTTACACCAAAAAGGATGTTGTTGGTTAGTCGAGGTTTCAACTTTACACCAAATAGAATGTTGTTAGTCGAGGATTTAACTTTACACCAAACAGGTATTTCTGCTCTGTTCCTGTGCAATGGAAATCACACAAAATGTCTTTCACTTTCCCACTTATAAACTTGTGAAGAACAAAGCAGACCCAGAAAAATCTGCAGGCTCGCACCTGCAAAGTAAATGTCTAAGGCAGCTACCAGATGTGCCAACACTAACAGTTCTCCACCAGAAATGCAGCTGGTTGTTGTTGGGATGTTATTTGTTTAGTTATTGCTGAAATATGGTATGATAAATGTAGCCTTTGGAAATTGTAGAAAGACATTTTTGATTTACCCAGGGTTTTGAATCTTTTTTTAAATGCTGGTTTTGTGTGCACACGTGCATGAATGTCTGCATTTGTGCGTGTGTGAATGTGAGTATGTTTTCCTGTTAATCCAATTACTAAAAAAACAGATAACCTTTGATTTTTATAATTTTCATATATTTGTAAGGCAAACTCTTTGAGGAAATATCAGGAAAAATGTTGGCAATATTGTACCCGCCTATTATTCAGAAAAAGAAAACAATCAAAAAATTAATAATATCATCATAGTAATAAAAAACTTTCTGGCTTAGAATAAATTAGTTATTACTGTAAATAATGACATTTTAGAATATATTACTGTTCTAGTTTGTTCTTTGACTTGGTGGGTAAAATGGGCAAGCCATTTGTCTTGCGCTCTGAAAACCATGAGTTCCTTTCAAGCATTGCTTCATTCCTTTCATGAGTGCAATCTTTACAAGAGTTCTCTGGCTGCTAGAGCTATGCAGTTTGTACTTTATGTTTTTGCAAATCTCTTGGCAAGTTGCTAGTGATTGTATGGGGGGGGGGGGGGGGGGGAGAGACCGAACTCTGTGGGATAAAACCTGGTGCGGTGTAGTCAACCCTCGAGTTTAAAACTTTGACTACTAGAAATAGGAAAGAGGCAATACTCTCTTACATCGACCCCCAGTTATTATAATTTATTTCAGGAGATAAATATTTTTAAGCTGTAAAAACACTGATTAATTATTTTAAATAACTTTACCATTGAAGTCAGATTTTTGAGATTCATCATCATCCTGTAGCACTACATGCCGTTGGGTCACCAGATGCTGTTGACTGTCTGATCAGCTGTCTCCACCTATGATGCTTGGATGTGGTGAACTTCATGGTTGGATGCCTAAGGCCTGTCCAGTCAGTCAAGTTCTGTACCCAGGTCTTTCTTGGTCTGCATCGTCTCTTCTTCTCCTTCTCTATTGAGCTCTACTTGTGTCTTCTTTTTGAATTCTTCTGTCTAGTTCCACAGCCATATGTAAACGTGTACTAATAGCTAGTGCTCTGAGCAACTGAAGCTTAGTTTTTACATGAAATGTTTTTGGATCTACAAAATATTTGCTGTTTGGCAAGGACTGATGTTGTCTGGGCAATTCTAGACATGATTTCTGGTCTGGACCCTAGGTCACTTAAAATGGATCATCAATATTTGAAATAATTGACGTTCTAATTTGTGACCTTCAACATACATTCGTAAAGTTATGCCAGCTGGATTTTTAGTCATTTCTTTAGTCTTTTCCACGTTTATTTGCATTCTATGTTTGGTTGATGTTTCATCATGGGCCCAACTCCTCTTCAGGCGGCTATTTTTCCCATTAGTCTGCATCCTCAGGGATACAGTCTGCACCCTCAAGGATACAGTCTGCACCCTCAAGGATACAGTCTGCACCCTCAAGGATACAGTCTGCACCCTCAAGGATACAGTCTGCACCCTCAAGGATACAGTCTGCACCCTCAAGGATACAGTCTGCACCCTTAAGGATACAGTCTGCACCCTTAAGGATACAGTCTGCACCCTTAAGGATACAGTCTGCACCATGAGGAGGTGGTGGTAGCTTGTGTAATCACAGGACAGCAGCAGGCAACTAATTTTTGCTTTTCACCCTCCTAGGAAAGCTAACTAGCTGCCCCCAACACTGCTGGGTGTGGTGTCACGTGTGACCAGTTTCTTAGCAGTGAGAAATCAAGGAACATCCTGCTGAACAGTTAGAACACTTGGCTCACAG